ATACCAAGTTGTCTATCCACTCGGATCCGAGACGTCCCTACGAACTGTTTTCGATCAGTCCAAATTGCTGAATCATGCAGCTAGTCAGAAAACATCAGCAGTGGCGTTCTTCGAGTTTCCTTTCCGCGACCCCCTCACTTTTTATTCTTATTAAAGCTCTTCCAGAGTGCCTTCTTCCAGATTCAATATGCTTCATTTCCGCACATGATGTTAAGGCCTTCACGTTCTCCAACAATTTACAAACTATATTTAACTTCATAGACCAATATTCATCAAATTGGTTACTACCACTATCTCCAGAACAAACGAAACTGATTAGAATTGGTAAGAACAATCCTAATACTCCAACATCCAGAGCCAAGAATTGACTTCCTCCTCATTCGTCCAAGATCAAGGTGTCATAATCAACCCTTTTTCGAACGGTTCGAAGAATTTGTCCTCGGATTGTTTCTAACACAAGCATAAACTTAAGTGGATAATGGTTCAACTGACCATCTTTAGACGATTATTTAAATTTCCAATTTATATTCACTTGATTGGTGTTCATATTTCATTTTGAAAAAATAACGTGTTTGCCGATAAAATATTTCCGTTAAAGCTATGAGAATCGTTAATATCCAAAATATTGTGTATTACCACAGTATTGCGAACTTGAGGACTGAGTTTTTCAGTGACTAATGGAATGTTGCTTTCAGACGTAACGAAAATACCGTACTGAAGTTTGTGAACGGGTGGAAATATTTAATAAAAGGGCAAATAAATGGAGCATAAAAATCTGAAAAATTGGTGGTGAAATGTAAAATATGAAATTGTGACTGGGCATATAATCGCTTGGTGTTAGGAAAATAATAAAGAATCATGCTGGCAGCGCAAGCAGCAGCAGATATTACATAAGTGAACAGCAACAGCTGTTGCATGAATGCATTCGCATCATTCATTCATCCTCTTATAGCAATACCATTGAAACTCAGTGCTTTTTTGTGCTAATAAAATGACGCATGACATCAACATGTGCCGTATTGCTCAGAATCATTGCATTAGCTGAATAAGATGAAATGAAGAATCTTTTTAGTGCATTTTTTCGGTGACTAATGACAAAATGTAATTACTTTCATTTTTGGGCACTCCGAACGAAATTGTCAACATAATGAATGAAACTCTAAACATATGCTGATGATCATCTTAATATAGGCTTCAAAAGGCATAGTGAAAATGCAACCCAATTTCCGTTTGCGACACTTCGTCGCAATCTCAGTCAATCCACTGGCGCATGATCTTTTTTTGAGACATTTCATTAGATCGCATTGTTAATGAATTAGTCGTTAACGCGTTTATTGATCTAACTATACGTCTCATTATACATCCTTTATGCATGTTTGTGTAACGTGTCTATGCGCAAGGATCTGAATGTGGAGCAAACAAAGATAGATGACAGATATTCGACAAAGAAAAATCATTGCGTGAAATTATGCGATAACGCTGCTGCTAGTGGCATTGTTGACCTTTATGATCAAATTGATGATAATACAACAGATATGAACGAATTGTGCATGATCCAAAAATCAATTCAATATTCGTTTGTTTATGAGTAAGATATCAAACAAAAACACAAATATGAATGTTCCTGATAAACCCTATTTCCGTTTTATTGAGTAATCATTAGAAATAGTTCGCACGTCATCTATGATACCAACTGATCTCATGTAATTGTCAGTGGACGTTGAGGCAGCTTTGTACGTTTGACATGCATGACACTTTTGTGCCAGTATTACGACCACTGACTAAATACCAGACATCGTTCCCACGCAGGTTTAGATAAACTCTCAAACAACCTTATGAGTTGCCCTAAATATTTTGCCTTTTTAATATATTGCATAATTAGCAAGGCAGGAGCGTATATTGATGTGAACTATTTAAATATTACCACTATTTTAAAATTAACAAATTTGATCTTAACACCATGGAATACGGACAGATGTGCATAATGAACCAATCGTTACGTTCACGAACCTCTCATTGCCGTTCAGTTGTTTTGTACATTGTCCAGTTGTTTCAATCGATAGATGATGCTTCAATTCGTTATCCATCACGTCCCATTCGATCGCTAATATTCGTTTCATTTATATGCAAGATAGATAATTCAGGATATAAATTCAGAAACAAATAAAGCGAAAGGCGTTCAAAAACATTTACTTGAATGATAAAACGCACATACAAATGACATCAGCAAAGCACATTAATTAATTTCGAAATGAATAACATCTTGACAGTTTATGTGTAGTTACAATAAATTAACACTAAAACATGCAAATGAATGATTTGCGAAAATATCTTCTGATGAACAAATATCATTTAAAACGAACTGTAAAAATGAAGATTGCAAACAATGAAAATATCGCACAGAATGCAGAAAAGTGACAAACGATAATCAGATGCACTGAAACGTTCTAGATGATTAGTCTCCATATGTTAATTGATTCCAAAACAATCAACACATTCAACGAGCAATTACATTAAAATCCATCATAACAATAAATAAGTAAATAAATAAATAATTATAGTAAATTCTATTGGATCACATTACTTGAACATTCTCGCATTGAACTTCTTAAGTTTCACTAAACCTTTCTTTCACATCCACAGTTTTCAGTTGTATTCATTATTTTTGTTTCGCTTCATCGTTCAATTATCACCACTAAGAGTTCCAAAGAACAAACTTTAGAAAAAGCTCAAACAGTTCGGTATGAAATTTATCCGCTGGGGTGTGTGTACGTGTGTGCAGCATGACAAGAATAATTCAGCATTACGAATTATTCTTTAGAAACATACAGAGCGAGAACGTGTTTTTGATATTAAAAATACACGCACACACACTTACAACAAGCTCAACGGCTTGTTAGATCAACCACTGATTTATTATTTATGTGTTTCGAATTTTGCCCGGCACATAGTTCTTGTCGACGAGAGGCTCTTGTAGAAAGATATGAAGACAGCGCTCGTTTTGTGCCAGCGGATGTCCTGCTACCCTGAAACAATCCATTCTGCGATTAACTAAAAATGGTTCAGTTTTGTAAGAAATATGTAACTAACAACAGTCAGAAACATTCAAAATTAATATTGCGATATTCCTATAGTTTCTAAAACCTAAAATAACTTTTTCTAAAAGATGGTTAAATAGTCATAAAAATATCAGTTTCTAAAACGTTGTTGTAAGATGCTTCAAAATAACTGAATATTAAAGATAACTATTTCTACTTGATAAATATTTCCAGCGAATCCAGTACTTTAACAACCTCAAGCAATCGAAACCAAAAAACTGTTTTCGCAACAGTTATCAAGTAACTCATCAAAAATATTCGTATACATCACTTACTTATTAACAAACACTTCCAGTGCTTTCCTCCTTTCCTCGACGAACGCCTCCTCAAATATTCCATCATCGGAACGGAATGGTAGCTGGCGTTTAAGTGCTTTACCTGGCAGACTTGGTACTACTATCTTTAAATAAGATGTAATTAAGCAATTGTTGACTGTACTTCCAATGCGACAAAATAATCCATCGATCGAATATGCACAACAAGCAATTATCATAATCTGACTACTCAAAGTGCTACCAATATGATCAGTAATTTTGTCAACACTTACGATGGGTTAAGATACTCTCATCTCATGACCGATTCAGTACTTCCACATAATCTGACGATAACACCAGTTGATGCCGAAAGATAACGATGTTTTCGGAGTAGTGTGCTAATAAAATATCAAAAATTTACAATTCAATTCCAGAAGAACAATCAATTTAGAACATTCAGACGATCAAATACGGTATCATGATGGATTATTATGCAGCAATGTGTGAAAAGCAACGACAAAGCTTTTATTAACCTTACTATCTCTTTCCAATTCTCCACGTAACCACTCGAAATCTGAATATCTGCGACGCACGCTCGATTCTTTATGCTTGAAAACAGGCAAATTTGTCTGAAACAAAATTCTGAATTCGAATCAATTTTGTACACTTGCACAATGTATCACCACAGTATTGCGCACCGCACTTACCCGAAGTCGAATCTCGTAGTCAGTGTAGCGAGATTTGCCAACACCGTGCGTGATTGGATTCACCACCTCGATCTCAAGAAAGTTCGCTGGCGGTGCATACGCCTCATCCAAAGTTTGCCGTTTTGGGGCAAGACGCTGAGTTGCGGCCACACCGCTTCCTTTCATAGCAGCACACCACCGTTATGCTTTACACCTGCAGCAAACAGTAAATAGACAACGAATCAATAATCTGTTCACACACGCTGAATGAATCACTGAACTAATTCATCGTAGCACAATCACAAGGAACTGATAAATCAAACGCTTCCAAAAGTAACAAATAAGGGCACTATTATAACCTTCAGCAATAGCAAAACCATAGACCGAGAATGCAATGATGTGATCCCCATGAGTGATCATGACGATGATATTTCAGTTCGGAAAGGATGTCAGCATATGTGTGAAGGGAATGATATAGAATGACGTAAACGTGTATTCGATACATCGATTAAACAAGTCAACCACTGCTCTTTTATTTATATAAACTACCAGTCATTTCATCAGCATTAAATATCGGAAAAACGACACTGTATCGTTGTATCAACACAACTGGTATTTCAGTGACATGAGAATTGTACACTTCCAAGAATTAATCTATTCAAAGCACTCAAATTAATACTAGGTATTACTCGACTGATTGTGCTCCAGCATAACCTCCAAAAATGGTTACGCTCACATTCACTTCTGCATATTTTCCTAATCCATGAAGTTGATGCAACACAACTTTGATTCAATTTCAAACTAAAATGTATGAGTACGCCTCATAAGAGTCAATGTTGTACAAGTAATTCCCTTCCTTTGAAGTATTTTCTGCTATGCCAGTCACTTTCATAGAACGAAACTATCTTCAATATGAGAAAAGTGACTCCATTGGGAGAGTTAAGTCATCCCCTCCAATAACATGTGGCCTTGGTTTCAAGCCTGGATGGTGACACATGGGGCATGCAAATTGCGGTAAGATCTACCAACGTCTGTCCAACCGTAGTTCCTACCATTTAGACGACTGTACGTCTTAAGTAGTTCTTTAAATAGAGTGCACTCCAGTAAAAAAGCAACATTCAGTTCTACTTGACATACCCCATGACCACATCAAGAAATACAAGATTCACAGAAAGACCGGCTGCAGATATCAAATATGAGTAATTTTATAGTTCAGGTTGTTAAAATCAAAATGGCATGCAGTTCGCTCGTACGCGTCCGCAATTGAACAGAGAATAAGTCACACAACAACTACTCTGAAGAATGCGTATGAACAAAATGCCACTTTGCTTCCAGCAACCTAAATGACAGAATCATCGAATCGAATATTATCTATATGCAGATAGTTTTCACCTTGCTACAAAACAGAGTACAACGGTAAGTAAGTGCATCGGATAGAAACTGTTGAACGCTATCAGACAGCGGCTACTTTACGTTTATAAAGCAGTAAGGCATCACTGGTAAACTAACATTAAGCTAGTTTGACTTATTCAGACAGTGACTGCTATGAACCATACAGGATGTTAGAAAGACAGAATCACTAAGGCAAGTCTGGCAATTGCTACGCGCACAATCATAACAGTTCGGACGACAATAATTTCGTGTTAATACCACACTTTCACAAAACTAAACCGCAGCACCACTCTCACAATGAATCGATTCAACTATCGCTCACCTTGGTCTAGTAAAAACTCAAAAATCAACTACAATGTTGAACTCTACCACACAAAAATAATTCTTATAAATGTATCATTCACAATTTCAACGAGCAAGTGTATATGAAATCGCTCGTTCGGAAGCAACCAGCCGTTGTTAATCGCCGGTAGAGGATTTTATAGGTATGTACATATTATTAATTTAACAAGCCTCTCAGTTATGCTATAAGTTGACAGTTACAGTTTAACAGTTATATAAGTGGAGAAACAATGCTTGCGATGACCTCTTTCTCTACTTAGGTTCATTATCTGCTTGAAGTTTTGGTGTAGCTCAAGTACAATCCTAGTGCCTAGATTATGGGTAAGATAGAGTTCTCAACCAATTCTAAGCCAAAAAACAAAGTAGACTTTTAACTTATAATCACTGAGAGATGGTAAAGGATGAAGAATGGTAAATCAGCTGGAAAGTGGACTTTGAAAAGTCACAAACATCACCTCAGCTATTGTTTATACGTCAATTCGAAATGACTTTTCTCAGCTGAAGGTCGAATCCTTGGTGGTGATGTTTAGATTTGATGCATATCGTGTAGGTTAGGCAACTGTCTCTATCTGAAGTTTCCAGTCCCTCGCAGCTGTGAACTTCTCTTGATTACACGAAACTGCTCTCGTTCCAGCGATATTCTTTTCCCTCTCGAATCTCGAGAAGGACGTGGAGGAACACACTTCACAAAAAAGCGATTTTATACACAATTGATACGTTGCAAGTACGATGTGATCAGGTTGACGTACATTGCAAAATCAGAAAGAGAGACTGAGGACACGGACAACAGATGGGTGACCGACAAATGCATCTACGACAAGTCGAACTCTGACATGCTACTCAATGATATTATCATAGACTTTCGCAGTGCAAATTGGCGAAGCGGCACATTGTCGTAGAGCCCAATAGATGAGTTGTTATAATGGCAATCGTTAGCGCTTAAAGTTTACCGTTTTATTCGTCATTTGTACACCATCAGGATCGTTCTCCGAACAGGAGATGATACGTTTATAACATTACGTGAAATAATGCACACGTAAGGAGTAGGCACTATTGCATGTGCCAATAGTGCCTACTGCTTACGTGTGCATTATTTCACCCAAGAAAACAACTTCTTTTCCTAACAAAGTAGTTCTGTTTGCTTCTGAATTATTACTAAGCCAGTGATACGATATGGAGTTGAATTTATTTGTAAGAAACCAAAATATTTATCAATTCAACAAACGAAGTAATAACCACATTCCGATGCATCCGATGATTGATGGTTTCAGATTTCAATCTTCTCTGCATCATTTCTTTTTTAAATGCCATCAGTTGAAAAGAATTCGTTTAGAATTACACCACGTCATTCACTCTCAGACATTGTCTTTATTTAATTATCAGTTGTTAAATTGATTAGTTTCAAATTAGCCTCTTCCTTGACACGTAGATGAGTCGAAAATTTCGAAAAAAATGTTGTCCCTCAAAATCAACTGAACATATTTACAGTTTGTATTTTTGAATCAGTATCAACCTTGCTTCTAGTGCTGATTGTTTGTCATTTCTTGCCACCACATCATATTGGAAATATCATATTTTTGTCGTTGTGGGAAACGAAAATTTTGAAGTTTGCTCGGAGCTAAAGTTATCATTGAATCTTCAGATCGAACGATATTTCATATCAGCAACTTTGGGAAAGAATGAAGTGAAAGTTACTTTCTAATATTCATTCAAATACTCAGTATAAAATTCCACCTGTATGTTCTTCTTATGTTGCCTCTCTGCATAACATCAATGTTTAAATTATTGGTTTTAAATTAAGTCTAAATTATGGTATACAGTTTTAATTTTACCAACCTGTACTATACTATTAAAAAAATTTCATATTGATGTTAACGACGGCTCTAACATGTAATAGTGATCACTTACAGATAATACGCATTGTAAATACTCGAATAATCATCTGCAATGAGCACATTTCGCTCGTATGTTTGGGATCCGCGTCTGATAATTGCACAAATGTTGTGCATTCAATCAATTTTTTATTCGTCCGAATGTATTCTTCTAAGCTTCGGACGTCTCAGAGGATATCAACCATCCATAAAACAACTTTATTCACCCCAGGTCAGTTGACAGTTAATGTTTTTATTTGGTAATGTTTATGGACAGCAGCACATATGCTTGAACAATCCTCCTTAAATAGATCATCGAATCCCTCTTGGTAAAGGTTGGAAAGGGTAATACACCCTGATACATCTCCCTCCACCAAACAAATGTTCTTAACGGTGGTGTTTTAAGGTATCTTCTAGTATTGCTGTTGTGCAATTGCTTTCGGCGTGTGTTTGCGCGTTAGCGTTGTGCTATGTTGTACAACGAGCCAAACAGTGTCTTGATTTCGTATGCACATATCATTTTTGGCATTTGATCTTCGTTATTCTGTATTCACGTTCATTTCCGTTGCAAATCTCTTGGTGGCTTCTACAACTTATCAGTATCACATTGTGTACCGTGCTGGGTGAATATCTGTGTTTACAAGCCGAAAGCAGAGAAATACCATTGTCGTTTCCATCGAAATTTGAGCTGTAACTGAATCTGTCAATCAGCATCTAACGTTTTCACAGCTCTTCAAACTCATTCACGAGTAAGTCGGTGTCTTTATGTTATTACGAATGTAATCCCTTCTAGAAGAGCCTTTGCGTTAGAGCATTACGTTTAAATTTTTACATATTCAAATCCCAGTTGTTTTTATCACATTCAGCTGTGATTTATATTGAATCCCTTGTATTCATGATTACTGTCTTCATGTGATAATTTAAAATTTATGTTTGAGTTCTCAAGTTCAGAAAGGAAAAAAGTTTACGTGCCCTTATACCGTCATTCCCAATACATGTGAAACAATAAATAATGAACAACTTATTTCGAAACTGTTTAAAATCAATCAAAGACTTTTTAGTTGAGCCATTAAATTCGACAGATCCTCTCCGCCAGATGTTTCTGTTGGTGAGCTCCGTTTTATTTCACCATCAGTCTGCAAATTGTTGACATTTTACGTTTGAAGTGAGTTAAAAGTTAGATAATTAAAGCATATTTCGGTCACCACTGATAATCCTTATAAAATCTTGTATGATTTTGAGTATGAAAACTTCAAGTAAACGTAACGGCAATACGAATATGCAATTTCAGCTCTATTTTCTAGTGATTCCTTTATGACATACAACTATATGGCGTACAAAAAAACTTTCCAAGACTGAATGTTTAAAATGTCTCACGTTCTGTTCACTTGCCGTTTCATATTCAAAACGAAGTCCCTCGCCCAACTGTACCGTGTCTTTTGACTTGACTTCATCACCACCACATTCTTCTACTAATTCGATTCCTGAACGAAATTAATTTCATCAATTCATAGCTGGTTGTTAACAGTGTGATGCATCAAATCTGTAAAACGATACTGAATGCAAATCAATGGTCGTATCGCAACGATACCTCGAAACTTCCACTCTTTTACGTATGATGTTTCAAAACGACAATTATTAAAAATGAAATAAGATCTGCACATATGACTCACCCCACTGATCATCTTCGTGAACAACTTTTTCAACTGGTTCTATTTTTGCCTTTTTCGGGCCTTCTTCAGCGAGCCTCTTCTAAAACATTTATTGAATGGGCAGACTGTTCGTATAATTTTCGTACGATATCACCAATGTTACAATGTTTTGATCAGATTTATCTATGTGATGAGTTTATATCTGATTCTCACGAAATTCGTTTGTATTGCTTTTGCTCTCAAATATTTTCAAATAATAAAACTCGTTCGAAATTATATTCTACTGCAGAAATACATAAATTACAATGATGAATCAATGTTATTGTTAATGAATAGTGTTATGAAATCACATAACAGATGAATGCCATCTTATATCCATTACAAAATTGATATTCTGTAAAAGAAATGGTAAAACTGTTTTTATATGGTAATATCATAAAGAAGTGATTAACTGATTGATAACGAATCGTTTTAATGGATTGGCGATGGCTGAACTAATGAAGTACAAAACATGAAGATGAACCTGATATTGATGTTGTCTTTGAATGCAAAAACGATCTTCACAATGCGGATTTGGAAGCATCTCCTGACGTGGGAAGAAATCACAAAGCGCATTATAGCCAACATAAGTGGATACTTCACCGAAATCCAGAAGATATCTGAATAACTAATCGTGTAGTATACAGAGGAAATGTAAATGGCTGTCATTGTTATGTCCGTTCGACACTCACAGATTAACGATTCAAGAAAGCATCGTATGAAACGATCGCTCAATATATATTACATTGGTAAGTCTTTTAAAAGAGTCTAATCTAAATTAATAAACACATATTTTTCGTTCAACACATATTTTTGAAAGTAAGCACGGAAAACAACAACACATGAGTAGTGTATATTGGATGATGCTAACTTCAAAGAATTTTGCACCAGGAAACCAGCTATAACAGCCATCGTTGTTGGTAATGAAGCAGCACAAACACCTTCTCGTTTTAGTGTTCGTTCATCGATATTTGATGCTATCACTAATGGAGGCATACACTGAAATCCCTTCGACTATTCGAATAAAATAAGAATATGGTAATGAAATTAGTTGATTGATTGACAAGTATATCTAGTCAAGTGATTGCCTACGTACGCTCCATTTTAATTATTTCCGAGAGAATACGATTCAAAAAAATCAGATATATCAAGTTTTGCTACTGTTGAGCTGAGTTTCTGAACATCAGATCGCTTCAGGTGACCAATGAAATAAAACTGAAGACATACCGCGAAACATGCAGTACGACCCGGTTCAATAAACTGTATGTGGCCAGATACAGCATTTTCGCTGACGCCGGATTCCATCCATACTTGATTCTCTTCATTGCATGCCTACAAATGAGGCAATCCATATTTTAATCGAATCTATCGGCATTGGCGCAAACTTATCGATTAACATAACGATTACATTGATGCGTGATAATTTTCTGAACTGAACAAGAATTCATAAGATGTTACGCATCAATAGTGCGTAATGATACGATGCATACAAGAGTTGCTAGTATTTACCGTATTGATGGTCATTCTTGCCTCAAAATTATCTACACAACTGAGAACCAGGTCAACTTTTTGCCCATGAAGTCCACCTTCACTGCAATCAAATTCAAATCAATTCAGAGAGACGCAAAAACGGAAAAAGAACAACTTGAATTTTCGGACGCTTGTCTACGTGTAAAACTTTTCAAGCTCAAACCCAACTAATGCCAAACGCTGCCATTATACACACTTTGCTTACAAACTGTGAATAGACAATATCCGTAGTTAATAAAAATTCAAATCATCTCACTACTCAGAGAATGTTCTAAGCAAAAATCAGAAAACAAATAAATGAGGAGAACGCTCAAACTATTATAGATGGAAAAACGACCGAAAAAAACTACTGCGAATGTGAGTATCACATTCATCGAAGATCCAACTCACCATATCCTGTCAATGAGAATTTTGTAGTTCTCGACTGTTGTTATGTTCAAATTATATGTTTCAAATTCAACGTCTGGATTGATTGCACTGAAATGAACGAACGAACGAGGGAGATGAAGCAGAAATATGAAATTGGAACCGATAAACGATAATCGATTCATTCATTGCATATAAAAATATTCTTTTCATTAGTTTCAGGTTCGATGGGAATAGATGTTAACCGAACATTCAACTGAAATGTCGAAATTCAGAACAAATTTGTGAGCGCGAATTTGAGTTGTTTAAAATACATTTGTTTCATAGCAATTCGATGTAGGGTCGAAAAATAAAGTGTTAAATTAAGATTTGACAAAAACGGTTGTTGAGATTTAAGAAGAAAAGCAGAGTCCTGTGAAAAAGGATGATTTCAGCTGACAGAAAAGCAAAAGAAAACGAATGGAATGTAAGGAAACAGACGTTAAAGTGTTTTTAGCAGCATCAACCTTATGCAATCCCGACTGGTGTGGCTGATAGAATAATCGATTCATATTTGCTAATTCCACCTAGAAATCATTCTTAGCAGCAAACGATGATATTATCATTGTTAAACGAAACATTCGATCGCACTGAAATTCTGCTAGAGTGAATACACTTCTAGAGATGATAAATAACAATGAAAATACAATTTCCGAAAGTAATAAATAATTAACGACCTTATCATAGTCAAACAATATCAGTTTGCCAACGCCACACCGTGTTAACATTTCAGCAACTACACTACCCACACCGCCGATTCCAACCACAATTAATGTCTTCTCACGTATCTTTTCATAATTATTCACTATACCCATTCGTTTAAGAGCCATTAATCGACTGTACGGGTTTGAATCCAGCACTTCAGCACTCATCTCCGCTACAATCTTTCTTAGATAAATAGCTGCTGATGATAATTATCCATGTTATCATCATCATCATAAAATTGCTATTTTTAGTTGCATGTGTTCTACCTTCTACATTCTATTGTCCTCATCAATAAATTCCGCCTGATTTATTGCTAAAATAATCACTCCAATTCTAATATCAACTCAAGTGATTTTTGTGTTTTTGGTGAATGATTAGAATGATCAATTAAGTTTCCAGTGAGGATATATACTGACAAGAAATATGCGGTGAAGAAACAACAAAATGAAATCGATCATATCATGAAATATGAGCGAATTATCAATTTATATTTCAAGCAGTATTAATTAAGCAAGAACAGTGTCGTTCCATGATTTGAATAAAAAATTCGATCAAACTCACCGATCTTCTCACGTTTCGGTTGTATTGTTGATGACTGATGATTACTTAATTGTTCCAGATTTTGACGTAAAATCGTCATTTTATCTTGTAAATCATCAAGTTTCGCACCAAGGTTACTTTTGCTTGAAGCCATTGCTGAACACTGTGTTATTACTGCACAATCAGTTTTGCCATTAGTACGGCATTTTCATATCGTTGCTGAATCAGTTTAATGACCTAAGAAAGCTACGAAACACTCGCTCATACGGCGTCATTGTTGTCAACTTGCCATTTTGCTCAGGCTTAGACTCAGGACTTAGATTGCTCTTGGGCTTTCTGAGTGACGAATAGTTCGCGAAGCCAAGACTAATCAACCAAAAATTTGAACACAGATCCATTGGGTGACGGATAATTGCAACCTGGACATCTGCAACTCGGATGATTGCATGCCGGCTGTCTGCTCGCCATAATTCGTTTCGGTTCGCTTTTTGAGCAGTGCGACTGGTTGATCACCGCTGTTCCGGCTTAGGCTTAGGCTTAGCTTTATGTCAGGCCGGCCACATAGTACGCATTATACGCTTTGCACACAATTGAACAGTCAAAAGCATAATGACGAGGATTGTTCTTTTTCTACGTACAGTATTGTGCTCACTACTTTAAAAGTCTTCAAACAACACGAAAACTACCAACGTGGCACTAGAGTTGAACTCAAACATAAGCCTTCTAAAAGGTACATAGCGCGTCTGACTATCCAAGTCACTCTGATCCGGAATCGTTTTCTGAAAATTATTTACAGCAAATCTGGTCTTCGGCAATGCACACGTTAGCGACCACTTCCTAGAAAGAGATGTGCACACAGCTGGCAGCAAGCCAGCTGCCTTCGTTATTTCTGGATTCTAACTTCTTCCTTACTATCCATGAGATCAGGTTGGGCCTAACTTAGGCTAGGCCTTGGACTAGCGTTTGGGTCTGCATTTAGTAGAGCCAGTGTTAGAACGTTTAGTCTTAATATATGTGTGAAAATCTCAATTGGCTTGCATAAAAATACTAGCCATGAGTAAGTTCATTTATTGGCGCACTCGGAATCGTTCACGTGTCTTAGTTGTTGGTTTCCGATCGGCGAAACAATGTTACGACTATCGGTTACCGGAAACTCATACTCGAAGTTGTGCATTGGACAACGTTCAGTAAGAAATTTGTACAAGCGACAAATGAAGTGTTGGTTTGTCGCTTAACGTAGTGGTGTTATAAACTCAACAGATAGAAATAGATTAAGCTATGCTTACGTTTAACATTAGGCTAACATCTTGACTCAGTCTAATGGTCTCAGCCTTATGCCCACACTCACGTTCAAGCTCCGAACGCTTTCCTCTCCAATAACATCCAATGCTGTTTCAACCTGATTTTCAACGTCACTTGTCTTAGACTCTTCTCAAGTCGAACGAATTTGACTTATACTTCACGCAGATCGTTTTTTAAAGTGTTGCACCATAATGATTAGTGCTGCATGAAGAATAGGCTTATCCTAGGTTAACTGCACGCACTATGGAGTAGAATATTGCGATCGATTCATACTCGAAAATACGATTATTATCCTTATTGCTTTTGAAATAATATCAGAGTATAGATAAGCTGAGTGATTTGGCTTAATTCAGGGGCTTTATCGAATGCTAACTGAACCATAGAAATGCTGTATGTTTATAGCAATATTAAATGGTTTGGCAATAATTTTAGGCTCCGGAAACTGGATAGATTATTTGCTTTGTTTGATCACAAAATAGTCTGAAGCAGATGTCAACAGTAAAACGTGTTGTTGGTCGTGAGCTTTTGGAAAGATTCGACGCAGTTCTTTTTGATGGGGATGGAGTGCTTTGGTTAGGTGGTAAACCAATTAGCGCAGCTATCGGTTTTGTTCGTAATCTTGTCAATAAAGGTTGTTTTTACTAAGTATTTTGTATTTTGCTTATTTGCATTTTTGCTTATTTGATTGTTTCCAGATGAAGTTTTGCGTTGAAAAAAATGACATGAGAAGTTCAATTGAGAATAGAAGAAATGTTTTTTTGTTAACTGTAGGCAAAAAAGTGTTTATCATAACGAACAACTCAACGAAAACACTATCCGAACATGCGGCCAAATGTAAAAATCTCGGATATGACATGATCGACCCCGAACACATCATCAGCCCGGCTAAAGTCGTCTCTTATCTACTCGCGAAAAACAAATCTGATTTGCCAGTTTATCTCATCGGATCAGCTGGATTGCAAGTTTGTATTCAGTTTTTTTGTTCATTTCTTAAGCCTATTCTGTTGCAGTGACGCTTGCCTAATCATTTATTGCAGCATATCGTTA